AGTGGAGCTGCAAGGCCAGTGGCAGCCGGGATCGTTGAGGGCGGGGTGTGTGGCCTTATGACACACTTCCGGTGATGTCAGGGGGTGTGGCATATGCTAATGAGTTATGCTAATGAGTCCCCCTAGCTCTTTTTCTACGAAATGACCCCTGCTGCTACTGTCATGATTGAACTCTCCTGTTACTTATGTTTTATGTGTTTTTAATTACTTTAATACCCATAGAAATTTTAAAAGGCAACATATAAATCTTTTAAATGAATGAATCAATTGGGGTGTCTTGTTCGCCACATAGGACATTATCCTGAAGCGAGCTGCTGATATAGCAGAAGCCCTCTACAGCGTCCCAAGGAATCCTGGTCAGATCCCTGCTTTGTCAAGCTCACCTGCCCACAGTAGCATGATGGGCATCAATTCCTATGGTAGCCAATTAGGAGTCAGCATCTCAGAGTCAACTCAAGGGAACAATCAAGGTAAGGTTGTTGATAGAGATACAGAAAATACATCTTTTTGCCATAAAGATTAAAGTAGAGGGTGGGGGAAGGTTTTGGTTTGGTCTGATCACTACAATATATTAGCAGATAAAATACTTAAGTGATAACAGGATTTCCTGACTTAATAGGGTCTCTATGTCCTTTGTTGGAGTGGGATGCCCTTTCACAACTCTGCTTTCCTGCCTGGGACATTTGGAGCCATGTGCTCTGCCACATCTTTCTGCTGGGCTCTTTCCTCTCTGCTCATGGCACCCTGAAAACATTTGCATTAGTTGATCTGTGGGGAACAGTGGACTAGAAGACCAGGGCCCCAGTCACACGGGAGGATTTACCACGCGAGAGGGACGGATTGGGGGCGCATCAAGCGGGCGCGATCATACTGCAACATCTGGGAAGCGGAGCGCACCCGTCCCCGATCCGTCCCTTCTGGGCGAAAACCGCGCATCAAAAAGGTAGCACCAAAGCAGTACTACCTGCTGGTTGACGCGCAGCATGGGCGGGCATCTGATCACCTACGCACCCGTCTCCCCACAGCATCCGAGGCCCTGTCGAACTGCGCATGCGCGCACATGTGCAAAGGGCTTGCCTCCTCTCCTGTCCACGCCCCCCCCGGCATCTGATCATGCCGGGGAGCAACTGTGTGGCGGCTCAGGAGATCTGTATGATCCCGCAGCCACGCTTCTCTTTTGTTGCAGCTGTAAAAAGCTGCACTTCAGTCGCGCCTTTCCCCCCTGGTGTGACCGGAGCCCAGGTAGCCTTTTGTGCCGTTTAATCTCTGATTCAGAGGCTATTTGGACACTGGAATCTATTTACTGAGTACATTTCTGTCTTGCTCTTCCTTCAAGGAGCTCAGGCAGCATATCTGATCCCTTCCCCATTGTATCCTCACAACAATCCTGTGGAGTAAGTGAGGCTAATAGATGACAGCTGGCTCAAGGTCACCATGTGAGCTTCATGGTTGAATAAGGATTTGAACCCAGCCCTCTAAAAACATAGTCTGACACTGTAACCACTACATGTTCATTAGTACTCCTCCTTGTCCCATTAGTTTTATGGATTCTTGATTCTTGTGTATGTTGTTGAGGTCCATTCTCCCTCTGGGTTCTTCTGATCCATGGGGATACATGGATTACTCCCAGCCTGTATCTAGCCTTCCTGTACTGGCTGCCTGAAGAAAGTCTGCACACAGGCCTGTAGCCATGGGGATCATTTGGAGGCAGTGCCCCCCGCAGATGAGTGCTGGCCCTGGACGATTTTTTTCTAATACAAAAAAATTAAAATGTAAGATGTGAATGGAGTTTCCAAAATGACCCCAGGCACAGGCAGGGAAGCTTCAGTCTCATTTTCTTTTTTCCTGGCCAAAAAATAAATAGGTTTTTAAAAATGCAAAAAAAAAATTAAAATTAAACAAAATTGCAAAAATTAAACAAAATTGTCTGCATATGTTAAGTAAATGCATGGTGTTTTTTTTAATTTAAGAAAGTAGATTTATCCAACTTGTCCCCTCCTAAGAGGGCCCAACTTGGCTTATAGTCTGGTTAAGCTTTAAAAAAAGACATACATCAGCAAGTATAACAATTTATTTATGTATTTATTTATATTTATTTTGGGATTTATATCCCGCCTACCCAAACGGCTCAGGGCAGCTAACAAGCGGCAATCAATCAACAAGGAATCAAGGAGTGAATAAAAACTAGAGCCAATCTTTACAATATCCTACTACTGACAGATAGTAGATATCTCTCAGTTGCTGCTAGGTGCTGGTCAGTAGACCCAACAGCATGTTCAGTACTGGGATGATTGTCGGCTGCATATGGGAGAATGGAACAATGCAAATAGTTGTGAGAAGAATCAGATTGGTGTATTATCAGGCAATGTCACAAAGGCACAGAAGCCTATCCAACCCATTTCTGTATAACTTTCTCTTCTCTAGCTCTCCTGAATACAGGGATATGATGGGTGGTGGTAGTTTACCAAGAGAACAAAGCCAGCCTGTTACCTTCTTCTCCTTCTGAGTTTTCCAACAGTGTCTCTCCTGTCAGGGCCAGTGAAACAATTTAGAAAAAGGCCAACAGCAAGATGCACATGATTTCTCCCAGTCCTGTGGAATATTGCAATCAAAGATTGGCATTCCACTGAAAGCATTTTATGAACACGTAGTGCTGCCTTATACAGACTTAACTGGCTCAATATTGTCTCCATTTACTGGCAGGAGCTCTCCTGGAGCTCATGCAGAGAAAGCTCTCCCTCCACCACCACACACACACCTGCTACTTGAGATCCTTTTACTGGAGATGCCAGGGATTGTTTTCACCTTTGTGCAAAGCTTGCACTTCACCATTGAGCCACAACCTCATTAAAAAGCAGGCATGCAGTGACTCATTTCAGACTGGGACTGGCATGACATTTCTTCTGGGACAACCTGGAAGTAACTTCATGACTCAGTAGGAATCATCAGCAACTCTTTGGAAAAACCATAAAGTTCACAGTGATTCCTAGAGAAGACTGAGTTTTCTATGGAAGTTACTTCAATCCTGTCTAGGAATTGCCAAAAACATCTATGATTTCACCATAAAGTCTCCTGTGATTCCTAGAGAGATGGGACATCACTTCTGGCGAAACCTGGTGACATCACATCACCATCCTGGCACCCCCTTCTTTGTAATTTTTCTCCCAACACTGCTCTGGTAGCTGAGGGTGGAAAATCTCTCATCCCCACTGGAGTGCTGGCAACTTTGGCCTGGGGAGTGAGGTAGTTCCCAAAGACAAACTTAAAAATAGTGAAGTGTTTGAGGGTGGGGTTTTTTGTGGTAAATAACTGGTGTATCCAGAGCAAAATGTAGAATTCCTTTGTAAGTACAGAAACATCTTTGTAATTCTCAAAATTCAATATTCGTTAAGTATATGTTGTGTGAAGCTCACCATTTTACACATTCCAAAGCTTTATTTAAAAAAACAACACAAGCATTTCTGCAATAAAGAATCACCCTCCCACCAATTTCAGTTGAAATCATTTAGAAGGTACAGCCTTGACCACAGTTTACAGAAAATTTTTATGTTAATGTTAGAAGCATTAAAAACACAAGTGTGCTAATTTTTTCCAGCTCTTGAAACACCCTTTCAGAATTCTTTAAACAATCACATCTGATCAGCTCAATGTACACATGTTGTCAAACAAAGGCATAGTCATGTCAGCCAAGGAAACATGCTTAAGGGGGTGAGAACGGCAAGAGAGCTCATGCAGCAATCTTCTGTTTGGAGGGAGCTTTCCAGCCAGCACTCTGGACTTGGGTTGAGTGCCAGTGCATTGGAATTGAACCTTGAAAGGTCAAGCCTCTAGAGGCACCGGTAGTTACTCCCCTGAAGACACATGACTCCCTGATGGATGGTACAAGGGGGAAAGCAAATGATCCTGCTATAGCCACAAGGGGGCCTGTATGGGGAGGGGTTGGTATGTATTTAATTTGTATGCCAATCTCCAGAACCTGCTTGAAGTGCCTTACAACTAAAACAATAAAGACGAAATAAGCTGTCGAGTCACAGCTGACTTATGGTGACCCCATGGGCTTTTCAAGGCAAGGGGTGTTCCAAGGTGGTTTGCCATTGCCTGCCTCTCCCTACCAACCCTGGACTTCCTTGGTAGTCTGCCAGGGCCGACCCTGCTTAACTTCTGAGATCAGATGAGATCAGGCTTGCCTAGGCTATCCAGGTCATGGCTAAATAAATGTGGTGCTGGAAAGTACCATCAAGTCATGGCAGACATGGTGATCCCATAGCATTTTCAAAGCAAGAGACGTTCAGAGGTGATTTGCCATGGCCTGTCTCTGTGTCGTGACCCTGGATGTCCTTGGTGATCTCCCATCCAAGTACTAAGCAGGGCTAACCCTGCTTAGCTTCTGAGACCTGACAAGATCAGGCCAGCCTGGGCTATCCAGGTCAGGGATAGCCCTACGGAGAAGGGCAGGGTATAAATTTGAGCCCTACAGGGAAGGGCGGGGTATAAATTTAATAATAAATAAATAAAGGGACAATAATACAATTAAAACATGTCAGGGCATCAAGGCACATAAAACAAATAGAGCCACTTAAAATAATATGGATAAAACTGTCCTCAAGCTCAGAGTAGACCATAAAACAGCTAAAAGAAGATAAAATGCCTAAGTTAAAATGTGTTGGTTTAGTACCTAAAGGAAAGTAAGGTAGTCACTAAGAAAGCCTTGGGAGGGGGATATTCCAAAGGTGAGGTGCTACCACTGAAAATACCTTGTTTCTAGTTACCACCTGCCCCATTTCTGACAGGGGGCAAAAAGAGCAGTACTTAGGAGACAGATCTTCTGCCATGGTGTTTTTGCCTGAACACGAGACCATTCCATGACATTGGCAATGCAGTGATGTGACGTTGTGGCATTGTCGGTGACATCGCTGCAACGCCAGCCTACACTCCCCTTGCTGCTGGTAAACCCACCCCCTCCACCAGTTGGTAAGAGGAACCTGGCATACCACAGAGGAGAGCCATGTCTGCAACTCTAGGCCAGGATCCAGCAATACCCCCAAGCTATGATCATGCCCCTTCAAGGGGAGTCCAAACCAGATATGATGTTGGGAGATCAGCAGTTTGCTGCCCCAGTATGTCTACCTCCCACATAAATGGTTTTGGTTTCTGTCCTGGTTCCCCCCCCCCCAAAAAAAAATACCCCTGGGAACTGTCATTTGGTAAGGGTGCTAAATAGTCCTCTATTGGAGGGGGGTAGTTGGGAACTCTTAATGAATCGTGCTTTTTATAAATTGTAGTTGAGGCATCTGTCACAAAAAGTAAGGGACAAAGGGGAGTCCTTTGCCTCATATCATTGTAATGTTCCAGACTGAGCTCTGCTGTCTTCAGCCTCATACAACCACCAAACTCAGAATTCCTGAAGGTAGAAAAGGACACATCAGTTTGTAGTGAAGATATGCACCTAGTGAAAACATTTTAAGTGCATAACAAAACAACTGATTACTTGATGGATGGCTAAATCTGTCCCTAGAACCTACCTAGCTTTGAGGCTGGGCCTGTTCCAAGGAAAGATTTTGCACTCTACCATTTGTAGGATTTTGATTTCTGGTACTATGAGGCTCAATGTTAGGATGGTCCATTTCCTCTTTTCATCTCCTAACTCCTGAGGTCCAGAGATAACTCATTCCTATACTACCAAAAGCCCCAAGCAGGCACTTCTCTCTGGGACCCTATTTGCTGCAGCTGCCGTGCTCTGGTGGTAACCGTGCTTCCCCCCTCCCCCCCGCAGCCTCTTGCATTTCAATTCTGTAACGTGAACTCTCATGGAATCCAGGCTACTGAAGATTGTCTGGCTGAGAGAGCTCATCTTGCTGTCTGCATCCCCGGGCACTCAACTGATGTTTATTTCTTGTAGGTTATATCCGCAACACAAGCAGCATCTCCCCCCGAGGTTACTCTTCCAGCTCAACCCCTCAGCAGTCTAATTACAGCACCTCCAGTAACAGCATGAACGGCTACAGCAACGTCCCCATGTCTAACCTGGGTGTTCCCGGCTCGCCTGGATTCATTAATGGCTCTCCCACAGGATCACCCTATGGTTGTAAGTAGTCACCTTCGCCTCTACAGAACCAACCTTTGGTTCAACTGAAGCTGAAAGGCAATGTACTGGAAAATGCTGTCCCTTTCTGCAATGGCACACTGAAACATTGCAGGTCTGTAATCAGAAATTAAGCGAAAAGTTGCTATAGACTAGTGATATGTTAATATATTTTTATATTAATTCATTTTCATGGTTTTATACTATTTTATACTATTTACATGCAATTGTTGCAAAAAGAAATTCCTGTTAATTTTTACACATTATTGCTATAAAGTATTTTGTGGCAGTTTTGCATCTTTTTAAAAATTCTTATTTGTTCCTTATTTGTTTCGCATAATTTTTACTTCACCTTTTGCCATTTTACATACCATTTATACTCCATCAACACTAAAACAGGTATCAGTTTTAATTGCAATATTTTATCAAATATCATTAACCCAGTTGGGAAAATAGACAACCACAGTTTCATCCCAAGTTAGGAAAAAATCGTAAAAGAAATGTGAACTTTTGAAAATCCGGAAAAGTCATGAAATGCAGAAGAAACCGAAGGGGGGGGGGTCAGGAGAACACCACTGCTTCTGCCACCCCCTTGGATCTTTCTGACACGGGCAGCATAATAGCTAACATGCTATGTTCACATTCACATGGCAATGTTTTTCCATGTTCCTTCCATTGCTGCTGCAAGTGCAGAGGCATACACAGCAGTAACGGATCATCCACATAGTAAGTTTTCTGCACATAAACACTGCTAGGGACTTCTTAGATTAACACCAAAGGGTAGGATTTTATTAGAACACAACACTTATGACTGATTGATATGATTTGTGACTGATCTAATTATCTATTTAAACAATTGCCTGTTGAGCTGAGCAGTTTTGCACAAGGATGGATGTGTATAGTAGAACTCAATCAGGCTGTGTGAAGAAAAGCCAATTGCCCTGTAGTGCATGATTAACAATACAATGAAACAACTTGCTGAACATATGTGAATGGTTTGATGAACAGTCAAACTGTTTATCAAAAAATCAGCTCCCTTTTTGTGGCTAGAGAACAGGACGTGAACCAAACTGGTGGGTGTTCAAGCATCCCTGTATGTATCTCTGGGCTGAGCTTTGTAAAGGAGCCCCCCCCTTTACAGACCAGAATTGCTGAGGTTTAACTTTTTAGAGGGAGAGGGAGGTGAAGTGGATATGATCTTCTGAATTCTCCCCCATCCTGAAAATTACATCCTCTAAGATGTTTTAATCCCACAAGGGGAAAAAACCATGACCCTCCATAACATTTCCCCAGCAGGGGTAGAAACAAGTTGAAGATGACATTTGTGAGGGGACAGGACATGGGACAAGGCTTTAAAAGCCCCTCCTCCCCTCCAGTTCTCCAAGGGAATGACACCGCCAGAAGCTGCCAAAGGGCAAAAAAGTCATTCTTTAAAATAATCACATGATTATGCATAATGTGTAGTTCTGTTCTCAGGCAGCAGCATTTGCCAGAGTAATGGCTTGATCCTGTGTCCCTGCTCTATCCAGATAGGTAAGAGTTATTTGGAAGTCTTCCAGCAGACAGGAGGATTTGGCCCCAGGATGCAGTAACGTGGGGAAGGTGATTGTCATGCCCAGGATCTGCAGCAGAATTACCTTTTTTTCTGGGCAACTTTAAAGTGGTGGCATCTTATAAAATAAATCTAAATATTTTGGTCGCAAGCAAAAGATAAATGCTTCTAAAAAAGAGAATTTTCTGATAACGTTTTTCAAGGTGCTCCGGGAACACTCGCTTTCCCCCCACCCTTTCTTTCTTTTGGAAATAATATCTCTGAAAAGGCATTCAGTCCTTATCTCAGTTCATCCTACTAAGTTTCAGCTGGGATTTCCAAAGTAGTCCCAAATCATCAGGCACCCATCTCCCACTGGATGTCAAGTTCCTTTTTTCATTCCCTTGAAGAGGCTCCGGTTTTGTCTCAACGGAGAGTAGGATGAGCTGTGTCTTAACTGAGATGAACCTCCGTCTTGCGGCTTCCTTTGGAACGGAGCTGAGGAGGCATGGAGGGGAAGAAATATGATTCTAAAGCCCAGGTGGATTAAATATTAGGAGGACCAATAGCTTGATCACAGAGCACATGCTTTGTATGCAAAAGGTCCCAGGTTGAATCCCCAAGTAACTGTTGAGAAAGCACTTCCTCATTCTGAGTCCTGGAGGAGCTTCTGCCAGAGAGACTAGGCAGTGCTGGGGAAGATGGATCAGTGTTTTGTGACTTCACCTCCTGATGTTTTCATTAATATTAAAAAGCAGCTGAGGGGTTATTTGGGTAATTAAGCCCTGGAGCTGGGGGCTAAACCCCCACCCCTTGATGTGATACTGGAGGAGGTGGGTTTACCCTTCTATTCTGCATCCTTTCTCTGATAGAAATGTAATTTTTTTTTAAAAAAAATCATTTTCCTGACATGTTCAAGAAGACTCTTTTTATCCTCCCTATTTTCTTGGGGAGATTGCTCAGTTTTGTTTATATACGTTAACACAAATATATTAATAACAAACAAACATTATTATTCCCGTGACTTGTCCACAATCCAACCCATCAATAAACTTTGAGCAGTTCTCAAGGAGGGCCAGCTCTGTGCACAAACCTGAAAGCTGCCCATTTCCTAACACTTCACTAAGCCAAGTTGGAAGGAGGAGGAGGAGGAGTTGAATTTATACCCTGCCCGTCACTCAGAGTCTTAGAGGGGCTTACAATCTCCTTCCCTTTTTAATCAAATCAAACCAGGCTCATAGCCAGGATTTTGTCATTTGGGGGCCTTTAAATAAGTTGGGGGCAATGACGTCAGTTGTGGAAGCAAGCTATGCTTGGAGAAGGGGTAGTGGCACCGGGGGCCTGGGCTAGATAAAAGTTTGGGGCCTTGGTATGACGTCAGGGGGCCAGGCCCCAAAATGCCCCACTGTAGCGATGGGCCTGAATCAAAATAGTCACAAAGTTTAGCAACATCCCTGACAGAAACCCCATCCCCCAGAGCTTCAGTTAGCCACAACAGGAGAAAGACTCAGATACAGTATGGGTGCTTGAATATCTCTGTCTCTCTCTCTCTCCCCCCCCCCTTCAACTGCTGCTGGCAGTTGGAGGGATGTTTCTCAGGGAAATGATGTAGTGGGGAAGGATTTAATCTCCCCCTTATCCCTTCCTAGTGCCACAGTCCCAGCCCAAGTGAGAACTTCTTTAATGACTTCTTCTTAAGATTCAGGAAAAGATCAGGAGAACTAATCAAAGATCTCTCGCATAACATGTCAATTGGCCTTCAGTCACTACACAACATGAGCTCAAATATGAGGCTATCTTATAATGGGCCAGACCACTGGCCTGTCTCATTCAGTATTGTTCACTCTGATTGGCTGCAGCTCTTTCCCAGCCTGGGATGGCAGAGGAACAGTTTGCTCGAGAGTCACCTCAGTCTGTGTCCAGGCTGGTATTTTCAAGATGGTCATTATTCACTACTGACAATGCTGAGTTGTTTTCATGAAATCTCTCCAGCCCACATTTCACAATGAAAACATCTCGACAGGCTTTTAAAGTTTTTTTTTTTTAAATAACTTGCCTGTTTGAAAGAATCACCCTCCAAGAAAGAAATCTGAAACTTCTATTGCTTGTGCACTGAGAGTTTAAAAATGGCCAAACAGATGTTTGGAGGATTTTTTTAAAAAAACAACTTACATACTCCACTTCCTGGCTAAGTTATGTGTGCCAAGTTTCAGCTCCAGGGAAAAAGACAGAAATTTTTACAGTTGAGTTATAAACCTCTGACAATAAGGGTTTACAATGAGATGCTGACAGACCCCCTTTTAAAAAAAAATAGGGAAATGTTCCCTTCTCTGCAGAGAATATGTGCGGAGTAAAATGCAGCTGTGAATGCGTGGGCATGGCATTGTGAAAGCGTGCACAAAGAGTGTAATACCCAAGTAGAGCACAAAACAAACTTCCAGGCTTCCTTACTTTTTGGATCACATCTTATAGCTTCTGAGAACTGCTTCAAAAAATTGCTGTCTGAAACCCCAGTGTCCAAATTGGCTCAGTGGCCACATGCAGTCTGTTCCCAGTATTTTTGAACCTGCTCCATAACCCTCCCCAGCCAGTATGCATAGAGGGATGTGCCATTGCTTCACTGCCTTTTTATGTTCACATTAATAAAAGAGTGCAGCATGAATGGGGCTTGTTTGAAAGAGATTTGTTCGTATCTGACAGTGTTCCATTAATAAGTACACATCTTTTCTTATTCCAGGATAGTTGTTCTAGAATAAATAGTATTAAATACCACTACCTGATTGATTGTTCAAGTTTGTATCCCACCTTTTAAAAGCTCACAACAGTTCACAGAGAGGTAAATTTTCTACAGATTTTAAAGCCATGCTTTTTCCTGGCTGTTTGTTACCAGGGGAGAAACAATCCAGAAACTAAGAAAATTTATGATATATAGAATGCTTACTTTTTCATCTGAACTTGTTTTACTATGGACCATTCATATCTTTGTTAGCATATAAAATTATACTAATTGGCATATGTACAAAAGTTAAAAGTATAAATGCCTTCACTTTTTAAAGCCAGAGAGACAACTGCAAAGTGCTGCAGGCTATCAAGGCAATCCTGTAAAAGGATTCTCTATTCTAACCCCAATCATGTCAGTGGACTTATATCAAAGAAACTCTGCATAGGAGTGCACTGTATGCCACGTTTAACTTTGTTCTTGCCACTTAAGAGGTAGGAAAAAATAAAAGCTGAAAATATAAATAATATATTTTGTAGTAAACAAAAGGACATTTCTTATTTGGGCTTAGAAACAGTTTTCTGTATGGTCCTAGTGTCGAGGACTGTCAGCATATCTGAATACTGAGTTAACAAAACTGAAAACTCTTCAATAGTATTTTATCATTGTACACACATTATACCATTTCAATAGTGAACAAAACTGGGCACATTTTAACAATAAACATACCCTTAAAATTTGTTGTATATATCTACAGAGATCTTGCATGAAAATCCCCATGCTATGCAATTCTTAGAAAGCATTTACAATGAGTGAAGCATTATTTTCCAAAGGAGAAGCTATTTCACACAATTTTTATGTCCCCCACAAAATTCCAGTTTTTCCTTTGGACTTATTAATGAATATTTTCAGGTGTGTTTGTTTATTTTTCTGGGTCTTCACATTCCTAGGGTTATCCCATCTTCTCCTCACAATCACCCTGCAAGGTAGGCTAGGTTGAAAGATAGTGACTGGTTCAGGTCATCCAGTAAGTTTCAGGAATAAACAGGGATTTGAAGTCAGGGTGTCCTCTGCTCAAGGCTGTCCAGTGTACCCCATTAGCACTCAGTAGTCATGATCAATAATGTGGCTTATTTTTCCTAATCCATAACCATACAATAAACCACCCAACTCCATACAGCCATTGAGATTATTGGGTTCCTAAAAAGCCAAAAACTTAGCAAGCTGGTTTGAGGTACAAAAAAAATTTGTTTTGCACAAGGGATTATTCTGGATGTCTCACTCCTGGAATCTGACTTGAAAACCCCTATTGTAAAGGTGTGATTGTTTTGTGCCATTTTCTCTTTTCTCACACCAAATTTACTCCCTAAAATGTACACATTTTTCAACATTATTTGAGCATCAATAAATTCCTGTTATAACACTAGATGCAGACTATAACATACATTGTATATTTAAATGCCATGGGTTGGATCTAGCAACAGATTTCTACTAATCAAAGAAGACGTGTGCATTCAGCTATATTCGAGGTAAAAAAATAGCCCTCTTTGGGGGCCCATAGAATTGAACCCCCGGATCAGCCTTTTTGAGGAGAGGCACTAGCAGCTATGCTGCAAATTTCGCTATAATGGTTCCTGTAGGATATAATGGAGCTGAAAAAATTGAGATTTCAATAAATAAATAAATAAATAAATCCAAGATCCGAATACCATACCAGTATTGGGATTTGGGAGTATCAGAAAATACCATATATATACCTGAACCCAATGTACCTGAACCCAAAAAAATACTGACTTTTTTGTACACCTCTAGAAATCACTGCCAGATCTAAGCCATATAAAACACCCATAAGAACCATACAAGCAAACACAATACAAAGAACTCTACATCACTCACAACAAAAAGCAGAGACCCAGAATTATTGACAAAAATGTAATGAACATAAAAAGAAACAAAGTGGTGCTGCCACACTGAAAGCAAAGAGCTGTTGCTCAGAGCGGGTACACCCTAACGAAATGGTTTGCAATGTGGGCTAGAACCAGGAAACCAGAGGGTGGTCAAAGGAGAGGGGAGAAGAACTGCACAGCCTTTCTGATCCCTTCTATCCTGAAAGTTCTGTTTATGCTAATTCTTTCCCTGCCTCAGTGATGTCTTCAAGTCCAACAGTCGGCTCCTCCAGCACTTCCTCCATCCTTCCGTTCTCGTCCTCCGTCTTTCCTGCTGTCAAACAGAAGAGTGCCTTTGCTCCCGTTATCCGACCCCAAGGGTCTCCTTCCCCAGCTTGTTCCACTGGCAATGGAAATGGGTTTAGAGGTAAGAGAAAAAAATCCACCTTCTGGCCTACCCCAAGACTTTGCCTTGTAGGTGAATTCCAGAGCTTATAACAAGAGACTGTGTTGGTGGGAAGCCTACAAGATCCTAACAAGACTTGTGGTGCCTTTGTTGTATGGAAGCCAGCCCAAGCCCTTGCTGAATGACAGCTACATTGAGAAATGTTGCAGGAGCTTTAAAATTAGAGTGGGTGGGCTAGTTATTTATAAATGGAAGGAAGAAGCGAAAATCAAAGTTTGCCCAAGAGAAGTCTTCAAAATCAGGTGATATCCTTTTGTATATTTCAAGTTGTGATTCTTCTTTTTTTGCATCTACATCCAATCCTGCTATATTTAAAAAGTGGGATATGTAGCAGTTTCAGTTATATTGGCAATCACTTCTCAAAATATTAAGATTTTTTTCCAAAGGATTTTTTAAAAATTTCCTTGTCAGAGAGCTTGCACATATCTTTTTAAATGCCCTTGAAAATCAGGGCATTTCTCACATAGCCACAGTGCAAAGTGCTCATGCTTTGCATTTCCCCATGCTATATTTGCTAAAGGTCAAACCACACATTATATTGTCGACGGGTTCACCACGGGGACTAGCTGCAAGTCCGCTAGAGTCTGGCTGCAAGTCCCCGTGGCAAACTCATTGACAACATAACACATAGTTTGGCCCTGAGTTTCTCTGCAAACAGGAAAGAACTGAAGCAGCGCTTCAATTTATTAATTTTTTCAACAAAAGCAGCAGTAGAAGTAGATACAACACCATACTCAGCTGCCATGAGGCAGGTTTGCACTTGTACGTTGGGTACATGGGGTCATGAGTTGGACACATCTAGATCTATATGCTCCACAAGCACCTTGTTCACTTGTCTGTTTGCCCAGCTGTAAAACACTATTTCAGTGTCAATCCTATCAAGAACAAAGAAATCAACAAAAGTAGTCACATAAGGTATTACAGTTTTTAACTGGATGAAGAGTCTGTTCCTTTGATCCAGGGAATTTTTGAACTCTGTTTCTAGGAAAGAGTAGGAGATTCCACTGATAAGCCAATGCTGCAGTCAGAGTGTCATACTAGAGCTACGGTCACACACACTAAATAATCCACTTTCAATCACTTTGAGTGCACTTTCCAACTGGACTTTTACTGTGTGAACTGGCAAAATCCAGTTGGAAAGTGGATTGAAAGTGGATTATTTAGTGTGTGTGACCACAGCCTAGGACAGAAGAGATCTGGTTCACCTCTCCAGCTCTGCCATGGAATATTCACTCTGCCATGAAGGTTGCTGGGTGACCATTGGCCAGTCACATATTTTTGGCCTAACCTACCTCATTGAGTTTTTGTGATTATAAAACTGGGAACTGGACAACTGTGTACTCCTTTTCGAGGGCAGAGTAGGATAAAAATATGCTAGATAGAAGTCCTAGGGCTCTCACCAAACTATAGTTTCCAAGAATCCCCAGTGGGAAAACAGAATGGTAAAACAGGTCTGTAACCAATACATTTATTTATGTAATTCATTTATTTACTTCAATAGTAACATGAAGTTCATGTTATAGCTATAGTTTGCAATAATGCACTGTGCTTAAGAACATAAGAAGAGCCATGCTAGATCTAGTCCAGCATCCTGTTTCAGAAAGTGGCCACCCAGCTCCTCTGGAGGTCCAACAATAGGGCATAGAGGCTGAGACCTTCCCCTGATGTTTCCTCCTGGCACTGGTATTCAGAGGGTTTACTGCCTCTGAACACGCAGGTTCCCTTTAGTCACCATGGCTAATAGCCACTGATAGACCTACCCTCCATGAATCTGTCAAATTCCCTTTCAAAGCCATCTATGCCTGTTGCCATCACTACATCCTCTGGCAGCAAATTCCATATTTTAATCACTCACTGGGTGCGTTCAGATGGGGCGTTTCAGCCGGCATAAACTGTACCGGTTGGAACCGTTGCAGTTTATGCCGGCTGAAACGCGATCACACTTACCTCCTGTCTGCGGAGCCCATTGCTGTATGCCCATTCACACACAGCGAGCGTCGGCGATTTGTTTTTTTTTAACTTCATTTGCGCATGCGCATAGGCAGCCATCCACAGAATGCACAAAACACCCCATCCAGAAAAGCATGCCCTGAAGAGAGGACTTACCTTTAAAGTTTAAAGAGCAAACTGGCCTCCCTGAGGTCCCAGACTCCTCTAAAACGTTAAACTAAGGACCTTTTCTTTTTTAAAAACAAACGCCGGGGCGAAGCTTCGCCCAAGCGCATATCGCCGACCTAAAAAAAAAATGGCGGGCGAAAATTGGAAGCCTTGGGCTTCCGAACGGAAGTGGCTCTACAACGGTGAAGAGCGATCAGATGGGGGCTAAAGCGATTACAACCGTTGCACTCAGGATACCACCACTTGGGGACCTAGTGGCAGAATACAACGGTTTAAAGCTCTTTGCAACGGTTAGGGACGGAAGGCAGATGTTCGCCATGTGAACGCCGGTAAGTACACTGATTCCAACCGGCACCTATACCATTGTAAATGCCCTGTCTGAACTGTATAAAGAAGTGCTGTGTCAGTCCTGAATTTATGGCCCATCAGCTTCATTGGATCCCCTCAAGTTCTAGTATCCCTCAAGGGAGAAAAGGTTCTCTTTGTCAACTCAGTCCACCCTGTGCATAATTTAATAAATTTCTATCATGTCCCCTTTTAACTAAACTGAAAAGTACCAAACTCTTGAGCCTTTCCTTGTAGGGAAGGTGCTCCAACCCCCTAATCATCTTGGTTGCCCTCTTCTCTACTTTTTCTAGCTCTGCAGTGTCCTTTTTGAGATATGGTGATCAGAACTGAACACATTATTCCAAGTGAGGCCACACCATAGACCTATACAGGAGCATTAAAATAACGGCTATTTTATTTTCAGTCCCTTTCCTAATAATCCCAAACATAGGGTTTGCCTTTTTCACCAGTGCAGCACACTGGGTTGACAGTTTCATTGAGCTATCCTGTACAATCCCAAGATTTTGTTCCCTCTCAGTCTCAGCAGTTTCAGAGTCCATTAGGCTATACTTGAAGTTGGGGATTTTTTGTCCCAATGTGCATCACCTTACACTTACAAACACTGGACGTCATCTGCCACATTGTTGCCCATTTGCACAATTTGTGGAAATCCTTCTGGAGTTCTTCACAGTCATCATTGGTTTTCACCACCCTGAATAATTTTGAGTCATCTGCAAACTTGGCCACTACACTACTCACCCATGATCCCAGATCATTTATGAACAATTTAAATAGTACCACCCCCAATACCGATCCTTGTGGGCCCAGCTGCTTACTTCCCTCCATTGTAAGAATTGTCCAGCAAAGGTGCATGTAGAGTTTTGGATTACAGCTGTAAAAGATTGTGCTAATGCCATAGGCGGAAGGGTACCTAGCAGGAAAACATGATACCTGAATGGGAGCAGCAGCATCAAGCCTGCCTTTCCTGCTCATCATTGAGGATCATTGTGAATTATGTCTCTCCCCATCCACCCTCACACATGGTTGAGTTGGAAGTTCTGAGAAGCTCTCAGAACTTTCTTCATGTTACTTGCATTAAGGGTGTTGTGCTAACTCACCCACAAAGGAGCTAAGCTCTTATTTAAGAAGGTCTGTTTTCACATTGTAGCAGAGCTCTTACAAAGCTTCTCTTGCTTATTCAAAATGCTCCTAACATTGCTTAGGAAGCCTCAAGGAAGAAATTAGCATTCTAGAATCTAAATGAGAACTGGTCAGGTTCTGGGATTTGACCAGCAACGACCATGTTGATCATCCCATTGGAAGAAGCCTAATGCCCAAGAACATGGAATTGGTGTTCTGAATAACTCCAGCTCCCTACTGAAGAAAATACCCTTTGTAAGAACACTGAAGATCACTTTCTTTCTGCTCTTGCCAGGAAGTATCCTACAAATGGGAAATTTCAGGGATTTAATCCAAGCTATGCAATTCTGTGATGATACTGAAGAGGAGAGAACAATATGTTAGCCAGGGATCCACAGCATATTAGAAGTCTCTTTAGGACCTCTGTCTGTCTGTCTGTTCCCACACACACATGCATACCCACAGACTTTTAAAAGCTAACTTTTACAAATGCCTGATGCTATACTTTAAAAAAAAAAAGTTCCTTGAGCCTTTCTGATTTGACTCAGTCTGGACCACTGCAATCCCTAAGCAATGGCTCCTTGCCTTTAGCAAAACAGAAAAGGATTGGTGTGTCATTTTATGAAAGAGCAGTCATGTGGGGGATGGGAAGGATATAGATGATCTGGAAGCTCAACTTTGTTGTCTATTTGGGTTCTCTTGTGGTCTGGGAGAAAGGCTGCTTCAAAGATTGTTGTGAGGCAGGGATGCCATTTTGTACCCCTTACCAAAGGAGAAGAGAGTTCTGCAAGATTCTCAGCTGGGGGAATTAAACTGTTGAGTATACAGTACAAATTAAATGGCAAAAAAAGCAATGTTTGTTAAAGAATTGTTGAGATGCGTCTTTTTTATGCCTCACAATAGGAAATGTTATCAATGCCCGTCACTGCTAACAATACTTGTGCTTTGTCATTATGTACCTAATAGAAAGGCTCATTGTAATTGAATGGTGCCAGTAACACAGAGCTGCCACTGAAAATGGCAGCCCTGTGTCAAGATCCCATGTCTCACTCCATATTGCAGTGCAACTTTCCTGGAGTCCTGGTGTCATTACTCTGTACTTCCCTTCCCCCATCTAATAGCAAACATTGACGTGGAATGGGATCAGATAAGCATGCAGCAGATCGATACTGGATTACTGCCCCCCAAAAGGAGGGAAGAAGAGCTATCTACACGGTCCTGAGCTGTAGTTGCCTGCCAAGCTGGGTGGCAAAGTAGACTGAGGCCAAGCATGTCCATCCCATCCATCATCATGGTGAGGCCAGGCAGGCTCATCCCTTGATGTGGAGAGGCAAGGCCAGGTGGATCTGTCCTTCACCACAGCAGGCCTGGGTGGG